GTTGAGACTCTGGGTCATAGAGGAACGTCGATCAACAGAGTTCTCTTTACGTCAAATCTACATATTCTCCTGTTACTGTTACTATACTCCTTGTTCGGCACAGAAAGTCTAATACTTTTTATACCGATGGCTCTCTACTATCTCTCATTTGTAATCATGGTGGTAGCCACCTTCCAAATGCTTCAACGGAAACGCGAATTTAATAATTTCCGCGTGTGGTCAGGCCTATTTCTTAGTTACTCAGGCGGAAATCTGAATCCTGAGGAAGCAGAGTATCAATTCTGCCGCAACAACCTGAAACCATATGGTCATTTCTTTCTCGCGTTGCTACTGAACTTGATGATCTATCCTCTGATAGCCCACCAATGGACTCCACAATCTGAAATCACTATAGTAGCAGTCACACTCACTCTTATCACACTGTGTAGTTTCATGTGGAGAGACTCTTCGCGGTTTCCCGATTTTCTAGCCCTTTTCAGCTTCGGCGTGCACGTACTTGCTAAATATCCTTACGAGACGGACATGGTTGTGGCGCAAAGCTGGAGATTCTTGGACATCAGAGTGCCAACATTCGCATCTTACGTTGTCGGCAATGGTATAGAGTTTTGTCTAAATTTCCGCGCCGTATTTTACCTCTTGATACCGGCGGTCTTCGCGAAAATGGCTGCGAGGGATGGCTGGCGCGGCACATATCGGATTTTAATACCTCATTGCGTTACTCTGAGTTGGTGGCAAATAGCAATCTTTAGTTCTCAAGGTGCAACATGGTACGGCTTGATAAGAGGCGCTCTCGCATTAGTTGGCATGGTTCTATTTCTTCCAATTGCCGGTATTGCTTCCATCATTTTACCAATCGTAGCTATTGCCAAATATTTGTCAGAAAATGATCTGGTTATGAGAATAGCGATTACTACTGTACTCGGAGGAATGCCATTTTTTGCTTCATGGTATCTAAGGAAGACCAGAACGTCAAGATTTAATTGGATCATTACGCTCATGCAAGTACGTATATTATCATTTCTTCGTCTTCGACTTAAATATACTTTATATATTTACAATGTATATGTATGTCTTATTTGTATATAAAATTATATAAATGTTTTCTATAGATTGTTCTTGGCGTTAGCGCTGCGACATTTTTATCGTGGCCGATGATAATGGAATATAATCAGGATTCCGATGAAGCGTATGACATTGTTTCTACTTTAACATGGGATCAGTATCAGAACTATTGTCATCAACCTGCGTGGGAAGAATTATCGTCGAAAGCGCAAGTCCAGGTGCAATGCGCTCAATTGGAAGGCATACCAGTCTCGTGGGAAGGTTATGTGACAAATATTAGAGTAAAATCGATAAAGAACAATATTGCAGTTGTATTAAACAAGTTGCCTAATAATATTAGAACAATACTTAGTTGTATGTATGGGGAACCGTACGAGGAAAATTGTAATTCGGGCGATGACACTCGCAGAAAAAACTGCAAGCACATCACGAACATTCAAAAGAAAAGGAACAAATGTTATTTTCCATCTTGGGATCAATATGAATTTGAGATATTCGTCAAGATGAAAAGCGGCATATGGGGAAGTACTACGGAAATACGTCTCATTGCGGACCATTCTTTCACCAATTTTAGTTTGAACATATATCCAGGCGATAAGATTTGGTTTTCGGGCGCGCTTCTGAATAATGACTTAGAAACAGAATCTCTTCTTGGTGGCGCTGAACTGCATATCGATTTGGAAGAAGTAGGGTGTCTTGCATGCAACTCTCTTGATTTGAAAACATCTTATAAACGTTATAGGTATCGTATAAGTTTAAGCTCTATTATCAGAGATCTTTGTCTCAGTGTAAAGACTGTATTAAATTTTCTGTTAAATCCGATTGTGATGTTCAAGTGATGATATTCTATATGACTGAATTTTTTAGATCTCTTAGCTTTTTAAACTCAATGTAGTGAAATTTTTTCGATATCTAATTACAATATTACAGTTGGTTTAATATGATTTATATATTAAACAAAAATTAAACTACTATTAGAATTACTAGAGTCTGGATACATAAAATCTGAAAAAAGAACGCTGAATAAATAATTAATATATTTCAAAAATACAATTTTAAACAAACTACTGTAGTTTTTATATATTTGCAGTGTAACTCTCTGCAATATATTTGTTGTATAAATATCTTAGAAGATATTTCAGCATGAAAAATTTATTAAAAGATTTTTATTTCGACGAACAATTTAACTCGATAATTATATTATTATTGTAATAAATTATCACTTTTTGCATTACAATTGAAGATATATTGCCCTGTACAAAACAGCGTGTTATATGTAATAACATGCTAAATATAATATGAACTGAATTAAATAAGAAACTGTTATGTATATAAAGCAGAGCGTTTCTTCAATGTTTGACATACATGTAAATATGTGTGTGATATGAAAGTAGAGAATAGTGCAAATATTTCGATGTTACCGAATGCCTCAGGCAATATATACATACACAAAAAAATACACATATATATTATATACACACACACACACACACAACGTGTGTATATACAGGATGTTTGAGAATAATGATAAATCTTTCGCATAGGGACAGAATGAACTAAACTGAGAAGAAAAGTTTTGTATCATTTTGCAATTTTCGTAATAGTTAACAAGATATTAGTTGCTAAACATTGCTGAAAATTGGTTTTCAATAATTTTTTACTCAAATATTATCAACTTTACAGAAAAACTGCAAGAGACAGAAATTGTTTATTTTCTTCTCATAAAACTACAAATGTTTTTAGAATTTTTTATTAACTTTTTAGTACAGCATTTTTTCATTTTTAACAACTTAAAAAAATACGGTATTACAAAATTCTGAAAAAATTAAAAAAAAAATTCTTAGACTTCTATGAAAAGAAAATAAACAATTTTTGTCTCTTGTAGTTTTTCTGTAAAGTTGATAATATTTGAGTAAAAAAATTATTGAAAACCAATTTTCGGCAATGTTTTAGCAATTAATATCTTGTTAACTATTGCAAAAATTGCAAAACGGTACAGGACAGAATAGTACTTTTCTTCTCAGTTTAATCCATTCTACGTCTATGCGAAAGATTTATCATTATTTTCCAAACACTATGTATGTGTGCGTGTGTATGTGCGTGTGTGTGTGTGTGTGTGTAAGTATATTAACAGATATATATTTTAGGCTTTTATGAACAAGTTATAATCTGCTTCAAAGTATTATATATAAAACATATATTTTTTAAGATTTATATATTTTCCTAAGCATTACTGCCAGTAAAAAAAAACAAGAGAAATGCTTAATATTTTTGTATTCCGGAAAATAATAAGAAATGACATCTTTTTGATCTTGTTTTAATATCGTAAATTATATAGTAAACATTGTATTTCTTACTAGGTTTATAGTACATATATTATATCATAATAAAATTTTAATTAGTTTGATGGCAAGGCAGTATGCAACATGTAATGTAAATAATCTTAGTAAAATTATTTAGTAAGCTATTATTTTATTAATAGAAATACGTTATTTTATAAGAAATTTTGTGCAGTGTCATATACTACCACATTATATTAGAATACGCTAGATGTCTCACAATTCAGTTACCTGAATAATGCAATTTTTAAAGAATACTAAAAAAAAAATATATATATATATGTGTGTATACAAAATTCTATACATCAATGTTAAGTGTTTAGATCGAGAAACTTTATTAATGCATATCTATCTGTAGAGTTAAGGACAGTTTCGTCATTGTATCATACAACGACAATAGGAACCAAGACCAGTACAGTAGCAAAGAGATAAGACATAGATGTGCCTTGGTGTTTTCTGTTTGAATAATTTTAATGTTGATAATAAAAGTATTCTATTTGCTTCTTCAAAGCAAACAAATGAATTAAATGCGTTAAAAAATCATGAACTCTTGCATTCTGTGCAAATATATATTTTTGTCATAAATAATATATATTCAAAAATAAAATTTAAAATACTATATCTTATTCCAATACATTTGTATAATAAATTTTAATACCTTGTATCTCTTCTGTGAAAAAATAAAAAACCTATTTTTCTTTAGAATTATAGACATATTTATTTTGTATTTGGCAACATGATACATTATTGTTTCGAATGATAACATCATGTCGATAACAAGACATTTGTTTATTAAACGGTTTGGTTCCCTTTTTCTTAGTTTCTATATAAAAGAATTACAATACAGAGTTTTACTATGTAATTATTTTATAATGAAATACACTAGAATCCCCCATATTACTTTCATGCAATATTAGATCATCACTCTAACACAGCATAATTTATATGGCTAATAGTTTGTTTAGAATTGCATGCATAACTGCAAATAATCTCTATCACAAACTTTATGCAGTATGGGAGCTTCGCATACATTAATTTTCTGTATGTACAAATATAAAATCTATGTTAATAAAGTCTTTTCTGTATCTATATAATTTGTATACGAAAATAATTACTTAATGTGCAAGAAAATTGCATTAATAGAAACAGAATTTCTATAGTTTGTATTCTTAAACAATATCTCTTTTATCTGTGATGTTATATTTTCTTAAATAATTAAAATTACTGGATTTTAGAATCAATTTGTTCCAACCCAAACAAAAAGGTTCTGGAAAAAGTATATATTACCACAAACATCTTGTATACATTTGGCTTGAAATTAATATAATATAAAAGTTTTTCCAAGACCTTTCTAAAATACAGTTAACAATGTACATGTCACAATACATTCATTACACATCGTCTCATTCTACAAATTTTGAGAAGTCAAATATATAAAAACTTATTTTGTTAAATTCCATGTGATTTCATTTTAAGAAGAAATAACTTTGGTAAAGAAACTGTAATAAATACGTATTTTTACTGACTATTGTAAAATCAAATAAATGTACATTGAGCCCAATCAATGACATTGACAATTAATTAATGAAGCAACATTCTGTAAATATTGGAATTATTACAAAACTTAGATACACATACACACATATGTCTCTCCTTTATCCTAAAGACTTTTATTCTTACACATAAAAGAAAATACTAATTTTAAAGCAAAGAAACCAAATACGGACAGTCTCATAGTATGTTATAACTTAAATCTTATATATGAGAAATCTTGGATAAAGGATAAATCGATAAGCTGCAACACTCAAAACACACACGCTATCTAAATCTTGACTTAGTAAAATCGCTTTCTGGCATTTTCCTGATGTTTCTTATGAAGCATAATTATAATTACAACACAGGCTATTAATACAAGGGCACCCAATAACATCAATAGGAAAAGTTTTATTCCACTCCAGCTATGTTGCTTCAGATCTTCTACACGTTCTGAAAACAGAAATTGACATTAGAATAGTAAATAAATTTCTACACATGTACAATAGAATCTTGTTTAACTGCATACCTCTTGGTGGATCATAAAACGCTGCTGATGGCACAATTTGTGATCTGTCTTCCCGATCTTTAGGCTGTAATTTGACACGATATTTTTAAATCTTATTAATTTGCTAATTATTATAATTGAATAGTTTATAAGAATAAGTACGACTGTGTAACTGATATACATAAATATGATAGAGAACGCTAGATGTGTGTGTTTCGAATAATATATATTCTTAATTTAAATTTAATTATCTCTGATGTGACTGTGCGCCGAAACGTTCGAACTTTAAACTCAATTGATCTGAGACGCTAATATATATAAAAGACACATGATGCCTTTTATCCAATGAGCATGCGTAGCTTATTTTCACTTACTCATACCTTTATCACTTTTTACGATTATTTACTGACTGTTAGGAGAGATAAGCAGTTTTCGTCTATTTTTATAAATATTTTAAAGCAATCTTATCATTTTATTTCATTTAAATAGTTTTTATTTATAAATGGCAAGTAATAAAAATTAACGTGTCATTTCTCGCTTCTGACGTCACGATTCAATATGGCTGTGGTGACTACACAGGAGCCTTAAATTAAGAATATATATTGTATTATTCGAAATATCTAACTTTGACCGCTTACTCGCATTCTCTATCATATTTATGTACAAACAGTATTTATATTTTTATTAGCTTAACAAAACATGTGCTTCACATATTTAATATAATATTTAATAAAATATAAAAAAATTAATTAATGCTTACATCATCTATTAAATCTAATTCAAATAAACGAATTGACAATATGTCATGATTGTCAGACAGATCACCCGTAGTAGCAGAAATTCCAATATAATATCCTGTTGGAAGCTTAACTTCATTTACTTGAAAACATTGCTTCCATGCTGCTTTGTTAGCAAGATCCGTGGAAACTTGTGATAAGAAAAAAAAACATTATAAGAAATATAGTGAGGAAATATGTGTAATTTAGTAACACATACATGTGTAATTGTATGTGTACACACACACGCGCGCGCGCGCACGTGTTTACAAATCAAGAAAGAGATTAATAAAGCTGAAACGAAAAAGAAAATAGGAAATAAAGGATGGATACACTCCATTTAACGTGACAGGGCAAAGTACAAACGATGAAATAAGAATAAAAAAAATATTACAACTTAACAAACAATTTTCTGATACATTCATGATATAAAAGGTGCAATAAAATTTAATAATGTTTAATTTTACGTACCAGTTAGAGTGTCTCTCTCGTATCTTATAGATATGTGTGTATCATGTTCCAAGTTCCTAAATTTTGCTTCACATCCTGCAAGTTGTGTATGAGTGCCATCACGATCGTGATCATAATGCAAAGATCCATTGTTAACCATTGCTGAGATGTAAGGATGCTGATGCTGTTGCAGATATATTCTATTATTTATGTATCAAAAGAAAATATAGAATAAAGTAAAAAATAAAGACAAATATATAAAAAAAAAATCTTAATTTAGAAAAATTTAAGATATAAAAAAATGTAAATTATTTAATTACAGTAATTAACTGGTTAATTAAAAATATTCAAAGATTTGCATAATCTGATTGTACAAACTATAATCACACTTTATAAAACTGTGTTTAACCTACGTTATGTTGGCCATTATGATTGCTGTAGGTATCAAGTATTACTGCTAATCCTTGGAAATAATCTCGGCTCCCAAATACTGGACCTGGCTTCATTCTTTCCTTGGCGTACCAAATAACAAAACCATCTCCAAATAAATCCTTTCCATTTCCATGTACTTTGAATTGAATTTGCAATTCCCAATTTCGTATATGGCATGGCTATATATGACAAGTTTATTGAATCTTAATTAGTAACTAATATACATGTATAATTATACATATACATACAGTTTTTATATTAAAGCTTATAAAGAGTTTTCATATATGTCTAAGAAATCGCAAGTATAAATAAAATACTTGCCACAGAATTCCATAAGGCACCTTGTTTACTTTGTAAATCAGGTGTTAACCTGATATAATTGTTAGTTACCATTGTATTTCCCATAAAGTCCCAGTTAGGTATCGTCATACCTGTGCCTATCATATCAAACATAATTTTATAAATAAAATAAAGTACTCAATTATAAATAATATATTTCATTTATATTTAAATATGTAAAAAACATTTGATAAATAAAATTGTGGTCAATATTATAAACAATTAATTTCAGGATTGCCACAGAAAACAAATTTTAAAATTCTCTGACTTTTCCAGGTTTTCCAGATAAAAATGAAAAATTTTCCATGACTAAATAATACATAAATTTTAACATTTAGACTCAAGAATTACAAAAAAGCTAATCTATATTATTAAATACAACAAAAAAAGTTTAGTAGCATAGTAAAATTTTAGCTGCAAAGCCAGTAAAAAATACATTAGTTTTGGAAAAAAGAAAATACAGTTATGACAAAAAAGAGGGATCAAATAAAAATACTGAATAAAATATAAATTTTAATTATTTTATTAAAATCGTTTAAAGTGTGCAAGTTTTAAATGTATTTGACTATAAATGTCAGATATAATATTAAAAAAAATTATTATAATTATTTAAAAAAGGAATTTAATAAAAATTGTAAGCAAATTTAAAAATTCCAGATTTTTTACATTTTCCCCTGACTTTTCCCAATTTTCCAGGTCTGTGACAACTCTGAATTTATACGTGTGTGTGTATGTGTGTGTGTAATAAAAAATATATTAGAAATGTTGAGACTTTTATCAATATATTTGCATTTATATTATTTATTTTAAAATTTCATAGTGTTTATCATTATAATATAACCTTTTTTTCTCTAAATAATATTTTCAGTATATTGCACAAAAATTTTTTTAATTAGTATTTATTAATCTCTTCAGAAGAAATTTATAATTTATAAAAATAGAAAAATTGCGTCTTTTAAAAAAATAACTCTTTGACTTATGTACATTTACTAATCTTGTTGCAATTATGTTGTAATTTTAGACCGGTAGTGGAATGACTCGCGGATTGTGATTAGATAATAAATGAACCAGTAAATTCTTCCATGTTGGCGCGCAACAGGATCCTCTTAAAGAAATCTATCGTTAAAAAAATTGGAATCCGCATATCATGTTTTCTTTTAAGAAAAAAAAAATCGACTTTGACCTATGTACATTTTCTAATTTTAACAGAGGAAACACGTAGAGATTCCTTCCGCCGTTATCTACGCAAAAAAGTAAATTCTCCGCATTAATTAGCAAAAAAGTAAATTCTCCGCATTAATTAGTCATCTCGTAACCTCAAATATAACGGACTATCTCCGCAAATTGCGATTAGATAATAAATGAACAAACAAATCTTGGGATTATCCGAGAAGCGTGATAGAAGATAAATAACAATTAGTGAACCTTGATATGGCCTGATTAGAGAATGCTCTCGCTTCATATAGTCCTGTGTGTTCCATTCCGCGGCGAAGGATTCTAGGACACCAATGAGCAGAAGCAGCCACGAAATCACAACCATGTTGATTTTCGATCGGACGTTCCGAATGTTCGTAGAAAACTAAACACGTGGGTGAAAAGAGTCACAGGACACTCGTTCAAAGCAGCACCGCCGGAATAAAAGCCAATAAGGCCATTCACGCATTCACCAAGGTAACCAACGTCATTCTCGAGTCATCCGGACGTTTCGCGGTTTCGTCGGGGATTGTTGGTTTTATAGTTCGGTAAAATTCGATCTGCGCTAATGCGACAGTCGATAACGTCGATCAGAGAGAAACTTGAGAGAGGCCATTGCGGAATTATTCGCGGAAAAAATCATCCGTACACTAGCGCAAGTACATCCACTGTTATTTAGGAACTACGTATTTTGGCGATAAAATCACTGTGTTGAAGAAAGATGTGGTGCGAGTCCGTACTAAATAACAATACCACCGACAAGATACTATTAAAGACCGTCAACCCTGGGCAAATTTGCAGCGGTATAAAAAGGACTCGGAGGTAATTGAAAAATGCTGGCATTATCGATAATTGATATAAATTTGCTATTATTAACATAAATATTTGGCTCATACATTATTAAATTCATGATTTGTTATCACATAAATATTCCATAAATAAATATGCATACTTGTAAAGTTATAATATCCTATATATTGCAGAAAAATTATAATTTTTTGTCTGCAGTTATCAGTATTCTGTTGTTAATCAAACTTTGACACTGAAATTACAATTTTAAAGAAAAATCGAGTATTATTGAGTTTTAAATGCATAAATACGTCTACTAAATTAATAAATCATAAAATTAGTACAATATTATCAATTTTTAATTATTTACAATATTCACAAGAACGCGAACTCCCGTAAGGATGTCGGTTTTTAATAGTATCTCGTCGGTGATAGTACTAAATCATATACGTGTTAAATTGCTTTAAAAAGTATAACATAAATATTATAATTTGTGGGTAATTAATTAAACGTTTTGTAAATATAAAAATATATATTACTTGAAGTTTTATAACAAATTAAATTCTTTAAATCAAGATATTATAAATAGAGAAAGAGAGAGCAATATAACGTAATTATTCACATCATAATAATAAGCGTTACGCTCACATTCGACAGTTTATAAGATTAATTTAGATATAATTTCGTTGAATCCTCTTTCCAACGCTCCATATACATAAAAAAATTTAATATCGTTTTCTATTTTATTTATACACAAGTGAGCGTAATAATTATTGTCATAGTACATTTAATATTCAACAATACATAATGAATATATAATTCAGTGAATTTACATTGTTATAGTAATATTTTTATAAAAAATTTTGCTATATAGAAATTAATCAAGTATAATACAATAAATGTATATATTTCTATATTTACGCAATTCGCAATTAACAACTATAAAAAAGTTTCGACACTTTTTTTTAAGAGGATTTCGGAATGCACACACACAACCTATATTTACCGAGCGATCAGATTTTACTTAATGAAACAATAAGTAATAACCAATTGCTTGGTGAACAAGTTGCATTCCAAAATTCATTTTAAAAAAATGTGTTGCAATTTTGCACTTTTATTTTAGATAAAAAAAAGTTACATGATACCTTGAATTTTTTTACCCCAATGTTTTTGTTTCCAATGAAATTTCCACTGCATCTTCTTATTTTACAAGCACTTACCTTACCGAATTATTCATTCATATACGAGAGCGCGAAAGCAACGGCAGCGTCACGGCGAATGCCGTTTTAAGCTGCATTTTTATGCCGACGCTCGATGCTCGAATCGAGCATCAAAACAGGTCACGTGATCAAAATTAATGCTTAATATTCAATTTTGATCACGTGACCTATGGAGCGTCGAGCGTCGACATGAAAATGCGGCCTTAAGTTTGCACGCCACCGAGATTCCGCGAATTCCGCCGCACGCATACAAGAAAATTGCAAGGGCAATGTGATTAAATATACACATACGTACACACATGCATGCATGTATGTATGCATGTATATACGATCAGTCGCTTCTAGTTTGCAGGTCAGAAGTTTAATTCTTTTTTCTAACTTGTAGCTATATATTACCACAAGAAAGAAAACTTATTGTGATATTTATACATGGCCGCGTCCCGTAAAATGCATAATCGATAACACGCACATAATTTATATCATATTTTATTCTTATTGTTTATCGAATATTAAACAAGGATAAAATAGATCTGTTGTTTTTAATTCCTGCACTATATAACTTTCTTGTTTTCTCTTTCACTAATTAATATTAAACACATATATCTATTTCACACTTTAAATTCTAATGATTTAACGATACATTTCACGCAATATGCGCTTTACCGAAAACCAACATACATATATATTTGTATATATAACTATACACATATGCGTATATATAAATTTTCAAAAAATATAAACGTTCGCACTTTGACATAATTCGAATTTGCGTTTTTGTAATGAATAAAATAGAAAATCAAATCTCAGTTCCTCAATTTTGTTTTGTTCATAATTTTTTTAGTCGATTCGTAGAACCTAAAAAAACCCTACGAGATAATTAGGAGAGACCCCGTCTCGTCGAGCCGCATTTCGGCCATGTTGTGGCCAAATTTTTTTTGAAAGTATCTGTAGAAAGTGGCCGGCGCGGCGGCACATTTGCGCCTGCGTACGTGTTCGCATCCATCGCGTGGATCTCAGCCTCAGCGGATTATGTCTGCGGTCGGCGATTGTATGGCGTCCTGCGTAGTACGTACGTCCGCTTGAACTTGACGGAGCCGTTCGTGCACGAGATACCGGCATCCGCATTCGTACGGCGTGGTCCACGTCGCGAGTAATCAGCCGCGACGAGAGTAAGAAAGGGCGACTATTAATATTTGTGAGCGAAGCGGTTGAGGAGAGGCGGTGAGGCAGCTAGCGAGCCTTGCTATAGAAGAAAGAAAGAGAGAAAGAGAGAGCGTGCGTGGATGTGTGTGTGTGTGTGTGTGAGAGAGAGAGAGAGAGAGAGAAAAAGAGAAAAGGAGTGTAAGTGAACGACAGTAGGAGCAAGATTAACTTCTCGTACGCCAAGTAGAGGACCTCACGCTGACTTGTTGCGTTTTCACGCAAGTAAGATCAAGTAAGATCATATAAAACAAAAAAAAAAGAAGGGCGTGGAGTTTAATTGGGCGCGACTAATAGGCACGCCGCTAAATCGCTGTCGTGGTCATGGGTAAGACGCCAAAGAAGGCGGCCCCTGGGGGCGATGAGAGGAATTTGTACGTTCGGAGGCTTAAGGCAACGACCGCGCCGTCGAGAGCTTCTGAATCTAGCTTGCCTGAGAGACAGCGCGAGTACGAGAATTCGAACAGGTTTGTAGAAACAATCAGCAACAGCGAATTGCAAGTTCCACCAGAGTTTCTCAGTCGTGGGATGTACGCTTGTTTCTTTTCTTTTCTTTTTTTTTTTTTTTTTTAAAGTTGCCCGATCAACCCTCTCCAGGTCTACCTGGAGTAGAGTTGCGGATTGTAGTAAATTGTTTGCGTACTGGTATTTGATGCAACACTTGGAACTTGTTAGTTGCTTGCCGCTGTTTACAGGGTATCGGAGCTTTGTTAAAGAATTGAAAGATTATATCGATATCATAGTCGTCCTTAAGTATATCTTCATGATATTTTGTAATTGTATCGCATAAGCTTTACAGAATTTTGAAGCAAGATATGAATTTTACTGATAATCTAGAACTTTAACTTTAAAGATTTAAGTTATTTTAAGACATTTTGAAATTAAATAAATTGATGAACAATATTTTATGGCTTATTTTATAGAGAGAACATTATAATGCTGATATTATATTTGTCGTACGACAAAGTATTTCAAGCCTATTGATTAGCTGCAAGAAAGAGAAGTTGTCGGATCTCTATCTTACAGTTAATCAATAAACTTAAAATCTTTATCGTACGACAAATGTAATACCAATCTAACGATGCATGTGAGAAAAGACAGATATTTTCATTCTTAGACAAACATGAGAAACTTTGGTTTATCTTTTTTAAATTAGTACTTACATACTTTTAAATTAGTTCCTCTCATCACCTCCAGCATTTCTTGCTCAAAGGCCATTTGTAATATGGCTTATCTCTTCATTGATTGTGAATATCTTATTTTTATTTTAGGCTAAAACTGACTGGAATACAGAAAAGAGTATTACCTGGACCAGGGAAGAGTTTTAAGGTATATACTTCAAATTTTTCTTAATTTTTTTCCTTATTTATGATTTTGAAACTGTTATACTTTTAAACAATAAACAAATATATAATATGATTATTTTGACTGTAACATATAGATATATAATTATTTTTAGAAATTATGTTTAATTATAATTATTGGAATTGTATTATGTTAAAGTATTATAATTTATTTGTTTGGATACTATTAAGTATTCATCTAAAAAAACAACAGAATTTATTAAGAGTATTAAACTTACTATTAAGATAATGTTATCTTTTGATATAGATTAGGTATAGGCTTATCAGTATGAATTCATAGAAATATTTTGTGTCTGATATAATTTAATTATTTAATATAATTATTACTGTTTATAGATTCTTTTGTTAATTAAATATTTTATAAAGAATATTTTTTTATGTTATCTAATAATAATCTTGTATTTATATTTCTTTGTTTCATAATTTATATAAAGAAAAAAATGAGCGAGAGACAAATAATAAAATTAATTGATAAGTATAATTTTATATAATATGAAAATATTGTATATACATTAAATTTATTTACTAATATTTATTTATAATAAAATATGAAATGAAAACAATTTTATCTTCATTTGCTATAATGCCCGTTTCCACCAATATAGACTAACTTTAATCTCTTCAACTTACTCTTTATCCTTTCTAGTTCTACAGATTAAAAGACGAAGAGTAAGTTGAATCGAGTTGTTAAAGTTAATCTACATTGGTGGAAATGGGCATAAATGAGTCAAATTTTGACTTATATGTATATTTTTTAAATATAATTAAATTGTATAAAAATGTGCATAATATATAAATAATAATTAAATATGCAATTCATATAATAATTGTAAATTGATGAAAATGCACGATATATAACTCATACTAATGATAAGTCTGTGACTTTAAATTATTAATTTCGTTAGATTCTTATTGTATTACCTTAGGTCTGCAATGTGGAAATAATATATGTTATAGAGCAAACTTCGCCCTCCAACAAAAATTGAACATCAAACAAAGCAACACAAAATACTATTAAAAAATCCAGAAATAAAAAGTACAGACATGCAGCCAGGATCAGAAGAAGCTGAAGTCAAATTGAATGTTTCAATTCAAAAAGAAAATGTTACAGAAGAAAACGGTAACAACAAAGCTGTCGAAACTGAGAAATCTGCTATGAGCAAAGAACATATTGATCATACCTACGAAAAGATTTCAAGCGATCTTCAAACTACAAAAACTATCCAGGAAGTACTTGTTGCGGACAATAAAACTATTCCCGAAGAAAAAGAAGTCTTATTAATAGATGTTGATACTGAAACCAAAGAAGAACAAGAGGCAAATGACATTAAATTGATATACGAAGCGGAATCAATTTCTTTAAGCAATGGAAAAGAAATATTAGACGATAAACAACCAAAGGACAATGGACAGGGAGAAAAATTACTTACAGAAGAAATAAAGAATGATATAAATGAGACAGAAGAGACGCAAAGTGAAGCTCCAACCAATAATGAAAGTTGCTCGGTTGACATTGTTGAATCTACCACATCAGAATTATCCGAAACGTCAGAATCTATTATTCAGAGCAACATACAGAAAGATAAAGAAAGTATTGATGACACTATAAATGATCCATCATTTATTTCTTATGATTCATCTATAATGTTAAAAGATGTAAAAATTAAACTCAATGATTGTCTGAAAGATAATTCGAAGCTCTACGATGTAAGCAATACGGAAGGTATATCGAATCAACTGTCAAAAGACCAGTCATTTGGAAGGACGCTGAGAAACATCTCGGGAAGACATTCCATCGGTCGAATGCGACACGTTACTTTGCGTGAAAACAGGATATCACCGAATAGTTCTCTTTTCGTGAATACCTCTACTATGTCTATGCCACAGGATGAAGGAATAGAATCTAAAATCTTACCATATGGTACTGGTTTATTATCCGATACTTTCTCTACGAATGGTAGCCCATTAGACAGAAAACGTAGAATTGAAACAGGAAATTGGAGTTCAGCGAAAAAGCAGAAAACAGATGAAGAAAGTAGCATTTTCAATACATCTATTAATCTATTGAAAGGTTTGCGTATACCTAGTATGCAGGTATCCACACCAAAAGCCACACCTTATAAATTCGAATCTACGAAGTTAGACATTAGCGGGATAAAAAATGATGACAATAAAATGATAGCTGAACCAATTGAGAGTACAAAGAAATGGTGTGTCATCATGTAAACTATCATGACAGTAAAGGTATTATTATACAGAAAAAAAGTAAAAAAATTGTATATTTTCGGGAAAAATACCAAAAATTATACAATCAAAGTTTGATTTTATTTTTTAATAATAGATTGTTTCTCTTCTAATTAATCAATTAAAAATAATTGTATTCTGATTTTGTTCTTACACAATTTTCTCGAGCACATGTATTTATTCTATAATTTTCGGAAATATTTTTTTGATATAAGGATATAATATATATATTTTCGATAATTAAATTAGGAGAATTCAATGCTATTCCCACTGTGTAGATTGCTTGTAGTGCAGAATTTTTCGATGTCAATTTTGGGATAAGATCATAGAAGAGAATAAATTACGTTATGGTGAAGAGAGTACAATTTTATCATGACTATTATTAACACTTTTAACATGACTATTTTATGAATAAAGACTTGATGATGAAATGTATCAACATTTAATATAGTATAATATAAAATAATTAAGTTGCATGTACAGAAATGTAATATGTTGTTTAATTTCAGTACATGTCTCCCAATTTACAACCTACGATTTATGATTTGTAATTATCTTTATGTCACTTTTTCAGATAGATTATGATAATAGGTTTTATTCCGATTATAAATTGAAATGATTCTGTAACGCAAATTATATTAATTATTTAATAGGACGTTTATCTGGAAATAATTTCTTGAATATTTTATTTTATGCATATTATATCTTATATAGGTATTATCGTTATGAAATTCATATTTCACATATGCACTTATTCATATTATGTAATAGAAAGACATATCTCTATATTTAGTTCTTAACGAAGTACAATATTTATATTTCTAATTTGTAATTCGTTGAATTTGATAAGGAGGTTAAAAATATGTTGTATTCTATATAAATTGAGTTGTGTCACAAATTTTTGAAAATTAATTATAATACACATTAATTACATATCTTTTTTCTAGTTATAGCAAATCATTACTATCAAATAAGTTACAATATTAGTTACAATATTGCATTTGTAACAACTTTTTATGACCTATCTTTGCTGTAATGAAATATTGTTGACTACTATAAACGATCCATAACATACTTATTAAAAATATTCAATAATTACATATTATATATGACAGTATATAATTTTTTAAGTGATATGGATATATTCTATATATTTTTGAAGAGAGAGAGAGACCGTAGTAATTATTCATGTAATTTTTATTCGGTATAAGAATACTCATTCTTCGAAAATTTTAATATCCGTTGAAACTGTAAAAATCAAAGATGTAAGATGTAGATACGAAACTGTTATTAGTGCAGTGTATCTTAAGAGCAAAATAAGAAATAACGAAGAAAAAATTATATCTTTGGAAAAATCTCATTTCGTATGCGGCTTTATTTATCAGTTCTTATTCTAGACATTTATATATGCTATAGATTTAATACATTCTTATGTCATCCATTAAGGATGATATTACATTGCCTTTATATTAAATTTTTGTTGATATATTTAACATATATCTCTAGAAGTATCACTTCGACCTTCCATCATATAATATAAATGAGGATTAAGGATGATAAAATAAAGACGATAATTCGACCAAAATAATTTTCTAATGTCAGTCGATTTATTCGTTTAGGATCTTCAGAGTTATTGTTGTTTAATTCCTAAAATTGTACATTGCGATCTTTATATATTGCGAAAAAAGTGATTTATTGCATTTATGATATTGCATTGCTAATTTTCTTATCTAATACAAAAATGTAATTTAAATCAATAATTATTCAGGACTAAACGAATAATCGAGTTAGAACATACTTTTATACTTGTTCGATTAGTAGAAGCGTTAGAAGCATACCCAAGATGTACATAAGAACCCTTATGAGATTTATAATAAATTCTCGAAATTAAACTTGTTTGTTGATCATTTCACCGAGTAACTCCATAAATTTTTATTTGTGTAACAGGAATAACTCTTGGATTTTAAATATATTATTGTGTACTCTTTATTTCTTAATATATTACATCAAATGATGATCATGTTATGTTTATATCGTTTTTATTAATAATTTTTGATCATGTTTTCAATATTTTATATTTTTGCAGCATATTTTTAAAAAAATATGAACATATGTTATTACAACATGTAGGACAGATATACAGAACTACTTTTGCCGATGTTATATGAAAAGATAATATATCGAAGGTACCGTTCCAGCAATAAAAGTGCAAAAGGATGCAAAAGATATCAGTATGAAGTCTCGAGAGATTTAATCGGGTAAAGAAATAATCTCATATCTCTTATTTGCTTTGATCATATTCCAGAAATATGGCGTTAAATCAAGAACGAGGAATGTATTTCTGCGTTGGATAGATGGCCTAGATAAACTGATATCAAAATCGTTGCAGATTGTTAGTCACATTTAATAATTTAAATCTTTAATAGTTGGATAACGTTTATTCGTTTAAAAGCGCCGTCATTCTTATTTTAAGATGATCTAATTGGACATGTAATATAATCATTTAAAATATAATTGCTAAGAGATTGTTTTGTGGAAAAAAATTAAATTGTCTTATTTTCATATAAGGACACGATGAATGTTGAATGAGACAGCTGAAATTATTAGAAATGTTAATTTATATCATTGATAATATAAGATATCAAATTGAAAGTGTTATTTTCTTTATATATGTGTAGATCGATAAAAATGTAGAAATTATTTAACGATAAAATTATTAATGCATACGTGAACGAGACTGGAACAGTATAATTCTCGTCTCAATTACGTATTACTCTCATAGTTCCTCTTAGACGAAACTGTACTAAGTATGCTTAAATTTGATTCGTCTGAATTTCTACCTTGATATCAATTTTCGTAATTAATATTACTCCTTTTTTTCTTGCCTTATTAAAGAGGTCCTACAATTATTTCGAGATATATTTTAATAAATGTGATAAACGTTCCGTTAAATATTTTTATTGTTAATGTACATGATTTTAATATCAATGTGTATTAAAACAGTATAGTAGTTTTGTTATAACTATAAAATAGAACTTTTCGATTAAGATATGTCGGTTATATATATTATGAGTATTAATTTAATGTAAATTTCATACATTGAGCATCAAAATCTCTTAGATTAGATATAAATAACAATATGTTAATATTTCTTAGCATTATACAATTTATTTTCTATTAATATTATATTCTTATATTTTCTATAATCATATTTTTATTATATTTGTTACAGATATATATGTTTGTGCAATCTGTTCAAGTTTCGAGAAAAGCCTAAAATAAGTAGTCAAATTACAAATTTTCTGTTTATATAAAATTATTAATCGAAAAGATAAATACTCTTTTACAGATGCAGTTATCGAAGAAACTTAAGCTGTCTTGCAGTACATTATAAAAAAATACATTATATCTATTCACGAGAAAATAATAAATATTGTATTGAATTAATTTTAGTTAATCTCTTATCAAATATAACAAAAATGTACACTTTTTTATTCAGTATTACGAATATTTCATTTCTTATTTATTTATTAAATATTATGTAACTGTTTCACACATCTTTTTTTGAATTAAGTATCATATCGGCTGATACAGTCAATGTCCATCTTATTTCTTCTTTATGATAATATAATATATAGATAAGACCCGTATAAATAAAAATGTAGCGATACACCGCAACACCATGTCATACTATCCTGAATTCTTAATTCTGCGGTCAGTGGAGCTACGAGCAACACGCCCGAGATATGATTCTGAAATTTAAGGTCCGGTTGCGGCGTCAAGTGTCAACGGTGTAGAATGCATATCATAAACGCGAATGAAATTGGAGTATACTGCGGTGCAGCATCCCACGCGGGATTGTCTCTGCTTTTCGTCGCGTACATTCAATTAGCGATTTCGAGCTCGTACATTTCTCTATTTTTGTTGTCAAATTACAATTGCATTTCTGAAAACTCACTGCAGAGAGATGTTTATATATTTCGTAAATTACATATCCAGATTATTCATAACGTACTATATTTTATAATTATGCGTATTGGGACTTTAATTTTATTGAGACTTCAAAATATATTCTAAATATCGTATTTCAAGACAAAAATAAGTTTTTATGTGACCTTATCTAAATGAATATATAATTATTTTATTATTAATTTACGCTTAATTAAATTGTTAGAAAATTATTAGTTCTGTTTACCTGATAAGTCCGATCAATTCAACGAACTCCCTGTATATACTTAAAAAAATTTATGTATGTGAAAAATATTTTCGCATCATGAACATCAAGGACAACTCTGCATTCGCTTTTACTCCTTTTTTATAGAAAAGTCGCAGTGCTTCAGCAAGTTAGCACGATAGCTCTATGAAGACACGGACCTTGGCAGCCTTCCCGAAGCCCTGGCCACAAGACTGATCTGATCCTAGTTCCGTGAGGATCCGGAGAAGCATGATGTCTTACTTGTACCTCTCTGCGGAACTCCAGACTTTGTGCTACATCGAGTACCAGCGGCGTGGAACGTGCTAGGCACGCCCAGGCCAAAGTGGAGCACGCGGTGGCGTAACTCTTGACCTCGGCGCATCCACGCAGACATGGAAAGTCGTACAGCGTCCTCTCCAACTGGCTGACCACCTGCTCGGCGACCTCACGAGAACCGGTCTGTACCCCGGAAGTGGCCAACTGCCTTTTAATGCATTCCTCGAACTCCGGAGAAGCCTCCGTCGTCTGGGCCGTGGTCACGCCGTTCAAGATCTTCAAGGCTTCCAGGCGCCTCGATGTCTGGACCATGCCGGCCAGACGCCACGAGAGCTGCAAAGGGCAAAGACATGATAGTTAGCAGAGGCTGTGACTGGTAAGCCTTCAATTTCATTCTAAAATATGCATGTCGCGCTATATATTTAATTGCGCGCGTCTGCTCGACGAGACGCTGCGAGTTACTTCCGCAAT